TGGGGGCACAGAGCCGCTGGGAACCCCCCAAAGGGAGGGGTTTTTGGGGGTCCCCCCAAATGGGGAGGGGGCTGGAAGGGCTGGGCTTCAGCCAGGCTGGGGACACTGGGGGGGGGGGGGGCTCAGCTCAGAGCGACCCCCGAAAGGCAGAGCAGGGGAGGGGGGTGGGCACAGAGCGACGCCCCAAAATGCGGGGTTGGTGTGGGGCGCCCCGCTAGGAGCCCCTCGGGGGGCCCGGGGGGCCGTGCCCGCTGCCGGTGGCGGGGGGCACCGGGGACCCCCGGCCGGGGCCGCTCCCGCTCCGTCAATGGCCGCCCTTGTTCTGCGGGGCCCCGGCGCCGCCCCGGCCGGGGGGGCTCTCCGCGGCTTTCCGCGGCTCTCCGCGGCTCTCACAGAGCCTCTTTCTTCCTCGGGGCTGGGCCGGGGGCGCCCCGGCGGCGGGGAGGGGTCCGGGGGCGCCGGGCGGGGCGAGCGGAGCGGGCACGGACAGCCAGGTGAGCCGGGGGGGATTTTGGGGGGCTACCGCGGGGTCCGGGAGCGCGTCCCCCCCTTTTTGCCAATCCCCATCCCGCTCCCCCGTTCCCCCGCGGGGCTGGGGGGTTCACCCGGAGTCACCCCAACCCTTGCGACTCCCCCCCTTTTGATGGCGGGGTGGCGGCTGAGCACCCCCAAACCCACCCCGTAAATAAAACGCCAAAGCCTCATTTCGTCACCGAATTCTCCATTTATGCACCAAAACTCACCCAAAAGCGGCGACACCCCGACTCCTCCGGGCAGAGCCCGGCCGGACCCGCAGCTCCTCCCGGGTTTTGCCCCCCAAAAAGCCCCTCGGAGCCCTTGGGCGCCGCTCAGGGCGGCAGCAGCGGGGCGCGGGCCCCGGGCCGAGCGCTGCCCGCGGGGCCGGGGCGCGGAGCGGCGCGGAGCGGGAACATGGGCAGCGTGGAGAGCGGCCGGGGCACGTCCCGCCGGCCGGCCATGAGCCGCAGCTCCCGCGTGTCCCCCAGGATGGAGCCGTGGTGGAACAGCTGGATGCTGCGGGGACGGGCGCCGTCAGCCCGGCCCGGGGGGCACCCCCGGAGCCCTTTCGGGGTGCCCGTCCCCGGCAGCGCGGCTGCGTCTGGGAGCGCGCCCCGAAATCGGGATCTTCGCCCCAAAACCAGGGTGTGCGCCCCGAAATCGGGATCTTCACCCCAAAACCAGGGTGTGCGTCCCGAAATCGGGATCTTCACCCCAAAACCAGGGTGGGCACCCCGTCACTGGGGACTGCTCCCCGTCACGGGGTGTGCTCAGCCTTCAGCGGGGTGTGAGTGCCTTTATTGGGGTCTGCACCCCGTCTTTATTGGGGTCTGTCCCCCAAAAGTGAGGGCTGAACCCCATCATTGGGGTCTGTCCCCCAAAAGTGATGGCTGAACCCCATCACTGGGGTCTGCATGTCCTTTCTGGGGTCTGTCCCCCAAAAGTGAGGGCTGAACCCCATCACTGGGGTCTGCATGTCCTTTCTGGGGTCTGTCCCCC